AACACAACCAGCGAAGTCAGAGCGGGCCCCACAAGCACAGTCCCCAGAGGGAAAACAGAACAAGTGAAGGGGTGAAAATCACTGACAGTCCCCCAAGTGCTCTCCTCAAGGGGAATGAATGATTTAGATGATCGGTTCGCTGGGCACCTCTCAGCAGACCTGCCAGCCCGCCCGCCTCCTGATGCCACACACGGACACCCCCCTGTTAACTTCCATCAGCCGGGAGGGGCACCGTGCCGAGCAGCTGCAGGGTCCTTGCTGGGGGAATCTCTGCCCACCCACAGCAGGGGCACCCAGGTGTTTGCACAGGCCCCACACGGGCACCTGGTACTTTCAGGGTTGACATGTGCACCTGAGATCGGGGAAAAGGAAGTGATTTGCAAATTGCTCTGTTTTTGTCCCTTCAACCGTGGCTGCTGAGGGAGACTGTGAGGTGGGCTCCCCCACCTGCCTGGAGCACTGTCAGTGTCTAACCGCCCCCCCGCCCCCTTGGCCTGATCCCTGCCCGGGGCTCCGTCCTCTGGCCGGGCCAGGGTCCCCATAGCAGTGGCCCCATGGTGACCTGACTGGGCACCCAGGAAGTGTCCCACGTACGATGGCCGTCAGTGAGGTGAGGGGTCCCAGGCTCCAGCACTCTCTGTGTATTTACCCTGCCTGCTGCCTCCATGGCTCTGGGGTGGGCTCACGTGTGTGCACCTTGAGCAATCTTCCCGGGAACTCGGGCCCCCTTCCCTCAGCCACCACCGGCTTAGAGCTGCTGTCCTGGACCTGGCTGGGCGGGGAGTGGTCAGCAGATCCCCCCACCTGCTGCGCTGGGCTCCGGGGGTGGGAACCCCTGTTCTTATCCTCGGAGAGGCAAAACCAAAGGGCCGATGCACTCAACTCAGAAAGGGGAAGTTTGGCATCACAGTCCTGGCTTTGACCTGAGAGGAGCCGGCCACAGCTGCGTGACTGACCCCTCCGCGTGTCTGGGTGCGGTGGACACTGCGCCTGTGGCAGGCGTGTGAGGAATGATCTGGAAACTGGAGAGATTGCCCTTGTTATTGTGGCTCCTGGTTTCCTCCTGACGGCTTAGCTATCAGGCCCGCACCTTCATAGTTTCTCTCTCCCAAATTCCAGGGCTTTTAACCAGCTGCACAGATTTCAGTCCCGTCCGCCCATAGAAGTAGCTGGAGAGTTTCGAACAAGACTGAAACCCAGGCGCACACCCCAGGGTTTCGGTCCAGGGCTCAGGGAGGAACCCAGGCCAGGGTGGAGCCCGGCACCCACGTCTTTTAGTTCCCCTGCCCCTCAAGGTGCAACGGGGCTGGGACTGAAACCACTGAGATCAATAAGTCCACGGCAATGGGCTAAAACCTCCCCCAGTCCCACCCGGGTATCTGCTTGGTGACCACGGTTTTGTAGACATAACGCCTCCCTCGCTGACTTACTCGGTCGCTTTAAAACGCATTCCTTGAGCGCCCCTGTGTGTGTGGCGTTAGGGCAAGAAGGTGAAGGGCAGACCCCTGTGGGAACCCAGGGGTGGGAATTCCTGTGGGGAATTCAGGGCAGAAGGCGTCTGGGGCGGGGTGAGGACGGGGCATCTCCGCTTGTGCAGAGAAGCTGTGACTGTGACGCTCAAGGGGCCCAGGGTCTTTCCTTCTTGTCTCTGCTCCGTTTACTTCCGATTCGCTACTTGTTTTATGCCCCATTTTCTCAAAGGATTTTAGCGACTAGGATTATAAATTATAAACTATAAATTAGGATTTCACCTGATTTATAGCGATGTGACCACCGCTGGACCATTTTGGTCGTCACGACGCCCCCGTCAGCACTCGCCCGCGTCGTCTCATTAACCTTGGAAAGAGCCCTGCCCGGTGCTCAGCGCCCAGCCTCCCAGGTGGCGATTCCCAACCTTCTCCATCCCACGGCACAGACACTACTTACTCCAAGTCTGTGGCTCACCAAAAAATACATCTTTTTGCCGATTTGACCAAAAAGTAGTTATAATTTCGGTTCACTCAGACCAGACGGCGATGGCTGTGCTGGCTGTTGTCATGTTTTTTATTTGACCATCTAAGAGAAAGGAGGCCGTGCCCCCAGCTAAATAGCCACGTGTTGCGTGTTCTAAACATCCTCGTGGCTCACAGGCGGGCAGTCGCTGCCCTGGAGCGCGGAGCAAGGCGACAGGGTTAGCGAGCAAGGCGCCCCCGGGGGCCCCGCCTTCCCTCCAGCTCCCGGTAACGTAAGTGCCCCCGGTCCCCTGATCACGGAGGACAACTCGGCTCCTACAGGAGACAGAGACGTCCGCGGCGGCCGGAGACGAGAGGGGATTTGTTGGCGGATGCACGGCCTTGTCTCCTGTTCGGAATTGTCTCTCCTGCTCTTAGCTCACGTGCCCAGAGAGGGGAGGGCGCTGGCTGTAGTCACGAGCCCCTCTGACTGTCTTCCAGAGCGGAAACAGGGCCCTGTGCTCCATCATCCTGAGCCACCACCGGGGCCCGTCCATCATCAACTACGACGACGGGAGCGGGAAGACCTGCATGCACATGGCCGCGGCCGCCGGCTTCAGCGACATCATCACCGAGCTGGCCCGAGTCCCCGAGTGCAACCTGCAGGCGCTGGACGTGGACGACAGGTACCCGCGGGGCACTCAGAGGCGCCGGGGACTGTTGCTCACGCTCCCCAGAGGTCAATCCCGGCAGGAAGGACGTGCTTACGGGGCTGTCCTGTCCGAGTCCGTCTTTACCGCCAGCGCCATCCACACATGCGCCCGTGACGGTCAGGGCAGGGGGACAGCGCTGCGGCGAGACGCCGGGCGTGCCGGCACCGGGTTTTCTCTGCCAAGCGTCCCCTGTTCTCAGACGGCTTCTGTCTGTCAGCTTCCTGCCCTGTGAACCTTTTGTTCTTAACAGCAAGTTCTCTTTTTTCTTCATTCCTGGATTATGTCATAAAATCAACAGGGCTTGTTATCCGGACACGAGCGTGTGACAAAGGCTTTGTGCTCAGAACTGGATGAGCCCTTATTAGGGGTTTGTTTTCGGTTGTGGAAAAGGTGTTGGTGCCAAAAAGGAAGCTGGCTCCCAAAAGTGGGGAGATGCAGCTCAGGGCGATGAACCGCGGCCCAGAGGCGTGTCCCCCGTCGGGGTCCCCCGTCCCCCCACCCAGGGCCCTTCACCCACGGTCGGCGTCGGACTTTCAGTTAGAATGTTACCCGACCTTTGTTCAGGGGCGGCCCTGGGTCCCGGGAAATGGAAAAACTCAGCGAAGGACAGGGGACTGGCTATGAGCGTGAGGCGCGTGTGCTGCGGACGGTGCCGGGTGTGTTCTGTTCATCTCGTCTGAGAGTTTTCATCGGTATTTTTCAGAGACAGCGGAAGGGAGAGGGAGGGGGGGAGAGAGAGAAACGTCGATGTGAGAGAGACGCACCGACTGGTTGCCTCCCACGTGGGCCCCGACTGGGGCTGGGGATCGAGCCTGCAACCGAGGTACGTGCCCTTGGCCGGAGTCAAACCCGGGACCCTCCGTTAGCGGGCCAGCGCTCTAACCACTGAGCCCACCAGCCAGGGCTGTGACGTGTGGTTTTTTTACCTTCTTTTATTAAGGAGCAAAATTAGCCACGTATTCATCCTAATTTCAGAGGCCACGTGATACCCCCGAGGCCTGAAATCCTCGTAACACAGGGAAAAGCTTCACAAGTTGCGCGTAGGCCTCAGGATCAGGAGGCGGTTGGCCTGCCGACCTTGGAAGCAGAGCTCCCGGGAGAGCAGGAGGGGATCCCGGGCGGGCGGGAAAGCGCGAGGACCTCAGCCGCCCGGCAGGAGAGCCCACGACCCAGAGGGGGTGGAGGGCGCACGTTTTAGACGACGGGCTGGGGAAGAGCCTGGCTGCTTCGAAACACTTCTAGAACCAGCTCTGGAGGGAGCGTCTCCCGTTTTTTATCGTCGCACCCGAGCAAAGAAAATCCAGTTCCCTGGGCCTCGGGGACGGAAGTGAAACCAGAAGAGAGAAAAGCGCAGGAGGCAGGGCTAGGAGGGTTCGAGGCACGGCCAGGTCTGGGGCCTCATACCTGCCGCCTCGCGGCCCGGCCGGCCCTGATTTGTCCCCATGTTCAGCCCCGGCAGCTGCACCTCGCGTTGAGTCCTTAGGCTGGTGTTGGAGGGTTTTGCCGAACGCTGCTGGGCTTCCGTGCTGTGAGTGGCCGCGGGCGTCGTGGCTTCCCTTTCCCGCTTCCCTTTCCCGGTGGAGAGAAAGTTTTGTGGAAAGGGAAGAAAAATAAGGCAGTGATTTTTGAAAAAGGGGATGCGGGAACGTGGGAGGGGCTGGTCCTCCTGGGTATTAAATCACGTCGTGAATCTGTGACATTCGAGGCACAGCGGCGCTAGCCCAAGGCGGGTGGCACAGACGCAGGACACAGGAGTAGCTCGTGGAGTTTAAATGCCCGCATTGCCTCGGCGGTGAGGTCCCACCTCCCTTCCGTCCCAGCTCGTTTGCCCTCGGGAAGGATCGTCTCCCCCGAGTTCTCCTGACGCACTTCTGGGCATCTCCAGGGAGCATCTCCATGTCCCGTAAATCACTCCCCGGCCACTGATCCCTCGGCCAGCGCTGCTTTCTTGTTCCCATCGGCCCCGGCAGCCGCAGGCCACCTCATCACTGCCGCTCGCCTCTCCGAGTTTCCCCTAGGTCTCGAGCCCTGACCCCACTCCTCCCCGTGACAGCTGAGACCCGTCCGCCTGGCAGGAGGCCGCCTGAGCTGCGGCTCCTGCAGGGCCGGGGGCTTAGAGGGAGGAACTACGGCCGAGGGGACCTGAGACTGGAGCCTGCAGGCTGCCCACGGACTCCGTGTGCCTCAGGTAGACGATCTCTGCGCTCCCCTTGTTTCTCTGGGAACCGATGTAAGTTGGAGCCGCTGTTGTAAAGGAGCATTTCGCAGGGCCCCCAGCAGACTGCCACGTGTCACCACCACGAACAAGACTCAGAGCCGTCCCGTCTCCGGCTCAGGCTGTCTCTGTAAAGCCGTCTCCCAACCCTAAGCTCTGGCAGCCGGTCGCTTCCCCCCGACGGCCTGCCGTGTCCGGGTGCGTCCTGCGTGGGCACGGTCGGGACGTTGTGCTTTGAGGCTGTCTCGCCGGCAGGCTGCACCTGAGATTCCTCGGGCAGCAAGCGGGTCCTCTTCGTGGCTGAGCCTGTCCCTCTGCGCGGACGGGCTCGTTGTTTACGCGGCTCCCTGTTGAAGGACCTCAGGTTGTCTCCGGTTTGGGGCAATTATNCGCGTGGACGGGCTCGTTGTTTACGCGGCTCCCTGTTGAAGGACCTCAGGTTGTCTCCGGTTTGGGGCAATTATGCATCATGCTGCTATAAGCGCTCACGCCCGGGTGTCCGTGCACGTCTGTGTTTTCATTTCTCTGGCTGATTAGTGCCCAGGAGCGAGGCCGCTGGCTCACACGGTGAGTCCGTCTTTAGCCGCGGGGGGAACCGGCGCCGCTTTCCCGAGGGGACGGTTCCGTTTCTCATCCCCACCAGCCACGTGCCGGCCTCGCAGCTGCTCCGTCTCCACCAGCACTTGGTGTCACTGGGTGTTTTTGTTTTTGTTTTTTGTGTTTGTAATGTTGGCTGTTTCCATAGTCACGCCGCGGTGTCTCGTGTGGTTTTCATTTGCGTTTCGCTGAGGACAGATGTTCCTGACACACTGTCATGTCCTCAGTTACCACTCAGGCGTCTTTGACGATGGGTCTCTTCTGATCTCTTGCCCATTTTCAAAATGGGCTTGTGTGTTTTCTTACTTAGTCTTGAAAGATTTTATGTATTCTGAATATAAACCCTTTGTTGGATACGCATTTGCAAATATCTTGTCCAAGTCTCTGGCCTTTTCCCCCCATTTTATTAAGAAAATACTGGTTTTACGTTTTAATAAAGCCTTAAATACTGATGAATATATATTTACCTTCTGGCTGAGGAAGGACTTTCTAAGCATAAGTCATAGAAACAAAAGAAACAAAAATGGAGAGGTAATTAAATGTATTTAAAAAAATTTGTGAAAAATCACTAAAAACTTAAAAGTCAAGTAGCAACCTACAGAAAACGTTTGCATGTGCGTATCCGATAAAAAGACTGATGCATTTAATGCGCACAAAGCCCTATAAATTGCTAAGGAAAACCAATAATCGAATAAAAAAGTGGGCAAGGCACTGAGTCATTTCAATGAAGGAACTCGAATGGCAAATAAACATATATTTCAAAAGTTCACCCTCACTATTAATTAAGTACATGCAAAAACACAGCCGCCCACAGCGAAGTGTCACTTTGCCAGTCTGCCTACGACCCGGCAAAGATGTTCTGAGACGGTGCTGACGCTCGGTGTTGGGAGGAGCCGGGACCCGGCGGCAGGGCCAGCAAGTCTGTCCTCCTAGACGGCAGGTCGGCGTGAAGCATGAAGAGACTTAAAGTTGGCCCCTCCTTTGCCCCATCCCTTCCTCTTCTAGGAGATTCTCGGTTAGGCCAGGAAGGCGGAGGGCCAGGGGAAGCAGACTAGAGGAGGGGCGTCCCCCGCGAGAACACCGTCGCCCCGAAGCCCCGTAACACACGCCGTTTCCGCAGACGCAGAAACGCGCCCTCCCGCCGCCGCCGACTTGAGTCGGGGGCCTGGGGGCCGAGCCGCCCGACCCACCCCCCTTCTCATCACTGTGTGGTCCCTTCCCGTGGTTCCCAGGACACCCCTGCACTGGGCGGCCGCCGCGGGCAAGGCGGAGTGCGTGCGGTCCCTGCTGGACCTGGGCGCGGACAGCAACCTGCGGGACATCAACGAGAGCGCGCCCCTGGCCTACGCCCTGTGCGGGGGCCACGCGGCCTGCGTCCGGCTCCTCTCCCGGGAGAGCAGGTGAGCCCAGCGGGCGCACGTGTGTCTCGCCCTCTCTGAGGCCGNTGAAAACATCATCTAGGGGTAGATTGTGAAAGGATGAGTCACAGGGAACAAGAGGAATGAGGCTAAGACGTGTCTGGCCGGGAGAGAATGGACCCCCTCAAGGGAACTCTGACCAGACCAGCGAGTTCCTACCTTTTCCATCTCGTGTCACATAAACTAATTACTAAAATTCTGCAGCACACCCAAAAATACATTTTTTTTGCCGATCTGACGAAAGAAACAGATTTAACTTTGATTGATTTATACCTGGCACATGTTGTTGTGTTGGCTGTTGTCATTTTTTTTAAAAAAAAAAAAACACGTTTTTATTGATTTCAGAGAGAGAAAGGGAGAGGGAGAGAGAAAGAGAAACATCAAGATGAGACAGAAACATTGATCGGCTGCCTCCCGCGGGCCCCCTACCGGGGCTGGAGCCCGCAGCCTGGGCAGGTGCCCGGACCGGGAGTGGAACCAGTGACCTCCCAGCTCATGGGTCAACGCTCAACCGCTGAGCCAGGCCAGCCGGGCAGCTGTTGTCCTGTTTTTATTTGATAATCCAGGGAAAAGAGGTCAATGCCCCTCACTAAACAGTCAGGCATTGCGTGTGTTAAACATTCTCGCAGGGCACCGCTTGAAAGTCACTGCTCTGGAAGCAGGTCCGGAGTCCAGGCGCATCACCTTGACTGGAGAGGGCTTAGGTGTCTGAAGGACCTGAGGCACCCCGACATCCCAGACGGGCGGACTGGACGGGGGTCTGGGTCAGAGGTGTCGCTGGCACTCGCTAACCTCACGTCTATCCCTGTTATTTTATAGGACGGAGCCTGCTCGGCCCCCGCCTTCCCAGAGCGGCAGGCCCCCGAAGAGGGAGGGGCGATTCGGCGTGCTCAACCAGATCTTCTGCAAGAGCAGGAGAGGAGAGCCGAGGGCCTCCCCGAAGGATCCCAGCGGGGACGGCCCCGGGGGGGAGCACAGCTCGGAAGTCGATGACATCATCACCACCTTCGACAGCATCGTGGATACCAACTGCCAAGAACAGCCTGGGGACCGGGTGGCTATGGTTGACTTTAAAAAGAGGACCCCAGAGAATTCAAGGTACCTCTTGCCAGAGAAGAAGCCGGTGGCCCGTCAGGGGCTTCCACCAATCAGAACGCAGAGCCTCCCGCCCATCACCCTGGGCAGTCACCTCCTGATGGCCTCCCACGGGGCTCCTGCCCACGTGAGCCTGGGCCCCGGCACCCAGCACGTGGCCCCGAAATCTCAGAAGAGCCGCAGCGAGCAGGATTTACTGGACAACAGGACTGGCGGCCCGGCCCTGCTGGACCAGCCCTGGAGAGGCGACTGCGGCCAGGTGCTCCGCAAGGCGTGGACCGGGTCTCCCGCCGAGAAGCTGCTGGACAGGTTGCTCGCCGGCAGGTCCAGGTACCAGGAAGTCCTGGGGCCTCGGCACCTTCCTCACCTGCGTGACCTGTCATCAGGTAAAGTCCTGGCTTCTTGCTTCCTGCTTCCCGGCAGGTCTCTGAGGACCTGTCTCAGGTTCTGGTTTGGAGCCTGGAGGGTGGGGCCAGAGCCGAGGAGGTGAGCAGTCGGTCTCCTTTCTTCCCTGAATCCACCCGATTCGAGACCTCCGGGCTGTGGACACGTCCTGTGCCCNGGCATCTAAGCCCAGGGACCTCTTTTCGACTCTGGAGCAAAGTGAGAGCAGCGAGCCCGATTCCAGCAGCCTAACATTCAGGGGACTTTTTTTTTTATTTAAGATTTTTAAAATTGATTTTTAGAGAGAGAGAGAGACATTGATGCGAGAGCCAAGCACCCATCAGCTGCCTCCCGATGCCCCCAACCAGGAACGGAGCCCACTAGCCCCAGCACGTGCCCCGACCGGGAATCGGAGCAGCGACCTTTCCGCGCACTGGATGACGCCCAGCCATCCCTGGCCCTTCCTGCCGGGTCCCATTCTAACCCACTCGCCTGCACACACAGTTTACTACGTCTTGCTTTGGCCCTTTGGAAACTATTGGCTCACTTAGTTATGAATATCTTCCCAGTTACACATCTCATTATATAATATCCAAAGATCACACGGCCCTGGCCGGGGACTCGGTGGGTTGGAGAATCGTCCCCTGCACCGAAGGGTCTCAGTTCAATTCTGGCCGAGGCCTACGCCTGGGGTTTGGGTTCGATCCCCAGTTGGCTGGAAGGCAGCCAGCTGATGTTTCTCTCACATGGATGTTTCTCTCTCTCCCTCCCTCTCTCTTCCTCTCTCTCTAAAATCAATAAAATCTAAAAATTCAATTGAATTTTAAAAGATTCAATCATTAGAGTATAACAAAAAATCACGTTTGTTAATGTCATCCCTAATATCACCCCAAACCCGAACATCACCCCTGGAACTGTCGGAAAAGCTTCACGTGTCAGGGAGCAGCCAAGTGCACTGTGTGCGGTCATGTTTTCCAAAATTCTAATTTTTGCTCAAAAGCTAGACTTCTGTCATGGGCAATAATGACTGTTGATTGTTTACCTTGAAACGACAGGCTCCCTTTGTTCATTTTTGAGGAAATTTCTGCAGCTGCCCCGCTTTTCATACCCATGTGTGTCTGTAAGTCACAGAAACGGTGTCCCTGTGAAAGCGTGTCCGGTTCAGCCGGCCGGGCGCCCCTCAAAGCAGCCGCCATACTTGAGTCTAGGGTAGAATTGCTTATGAGCACTTCCTGTTCTGTCAAAAAACGTATCTTCAAGGATCAATATTTAATAGAAGTAATAACCTTTACTGGGCATTATTAAGTTAAATGGCAATTTTTATCATGCAAGTCCAGTGGGGCTATTGTCTGGAGTTGTGCCAAGTGGCCCACAGTTTCCCCCCTGTCTCTGTTGCACCCTTGGTCCAAAAAGCAGCCCAGTGAAAAAGACCATCCCATCCCGACATTATTACAAATATCGTTTTAACCCCATGAAACCCCTAAAGACTGTCAGGATCCCCTCCCTAGGGTTCGGTGGCCCACACTTTGAGACCCACTCGCCTAAGTCACAACCTGGCACAAAGGAAGGTGCTGCTGTGGCATGAATTACACAGGGACACGTCTACAGAAGGAAACTTGAGAAAATGTTAGTGACCCCCTGGGGTTCATTCTCTCGGGTTGAGCGTCCGGAAGTTGTGTTCGATATCTCAGAAAGCCCGCTGGAGGGTGAGAGAGGAACCTAAAAATATCTTCATGGGAGTAAAGAGTCGCTGCCCGGCCGTGGGACCTGCAGAACAAACACTCAGTCCGTGCGGCCAAAATAAGTGGTGTTTTTCAGAGTCCGGATTCCAGCGTCTGGCCCTGAAGAGTCCGCTGCAGGCCGGCTGTCGGGCCTGCTCGCGGGTCAGGTGTCACCGTTTCCTTGACCTCAGAGAGGGCGAAGTCGCTTGTGGCCTCAGGAGAGAGTAACAAAATTTTCCGAGGAGCAAAAGCAGAAGCGGGCGGAGGGGGAACTCCGCGGAGGAGAAGAGCCGAGGCCCCGGCTGCGCTGACCTTTCCTCCTTGGAAGACGCCTGCCCCTCCCGGCGCCCACTTTCCTCCGCCCCCCTCGGCCTTCACGCCTCCTCTCCTGCAGCGACGCCCAGCCAGAGCTGCTTCCCTGGGCCCCCTTTAGTACACTTTGCTAAAAAGCATTTTTTTCAATAGGAAATTTAGTGAAAACCAAAATGGAAACAAAACCCACACAAACAGCAAAGAACGGGCAGGCTTCCTGCGGTGGACAGTGTCGGGCTCGGCCCAGGTCTCCCGGGTCCCCGTCGGAGCCTCCGAGGCCACAGCCCCCCTGACACCCCGCCC